TGTTAGCTAGGATTCTTCCATCGTCTGCAGTCAGCCCCAAACAGGGCCAAGTTACCTTTGACTTTGATATCGTATGTCTTTGGATCTCGCATCAGAAGCGCGGCCGCTTCTCCGTTCAAAGGATCTGTAGGATTTGGGTATCGTAGGAGCTGCGGTAGGAAAACTTCGAAAATGTTGATCATGTCAAACATTGGAGACCAGGTCTGGTTGATGACATCGAGACATACAGACCCAGAACTAATCATATCAGAAATACATTCATTTCCAGACGGAAGATTAGTCTTACATCTCGTCAATGTTTGGGTGGAATATGCGGTTGACAAAGCCGATGCTTGGACTTTTGTATGGGTACTGGTCTGGAAGTTCTACGTGGACCTTCCATAGGCCGCCTTTGAACGGTGCTATACATTATAAGCCAGAGGCAACCAATGCCTCATGTGTCCGACATACTTTCTTCCGGCCCCTTGAACCGGACGTAGAACTCTTGCCTGCGGTAGATATTGTCATAAGCATTCGATCGTCACCAGAGATTTCCGTGCCCGCTATCAAAGGTAGTAGACATACACTGTCTTCATGTTAGTGTTCGTGCTCCCGCCACCATACTGCAAGTCACTCACTGTTATCGTTGACCAAAGTCACTTCGTAGTCACTCATCAACCTGCAATACCGGATGAGCCTCAGGTAAAAAGTAGTTGTGCTATTGATCTAGCCGACTAGAGGGGAGCAGCGCCGGCAGTGGAGAGGGTTGCATACATCCTGAGACGAGTGTCAGTACAAAGCTACACTTTCTAAGGGAGGAGCGTGGTTACTTCATGACCTATGCACCAGAAAAAGCACCATCAGCACACCCGTGTCTTCTTCATCGAACACCGCCTCTTATTATCCCACTTACATCCGTCTCGATCCTTCTCTTTGGACTGCTCATCCTGCCGCCTGTTTTTCCAAAGTTTGTGGGCAGCCGACGGTCCTGTGTAGGTTCTCCACCAGGCAGTCTCTTTATTTTTTAACCAAAGAGAACGCAGCTTCTTTGTATGACGTGTGATGTATTTCAGGAGAGCAGAGTATCTTAGAGCAGACGCCTTGGAGCGGTCCGCAAAGCGTTGAATATATCCTTCTTGTATGTTTGGTGTTCTGGTAGCTTCTTCAATTTGCTTTAGCGTGACAGTAGTACGTAGCAGCTTCAGAGATCATGTTGTATTGGCCAGTTGGAAGAGGAGGGAGGGTTGAAGTACGAAACACAAAGGACGTTAGATGGGCGGTCACGCAGCAGCTCCCCGCAAGAGGCGGTCATTCACGGCACCAACACATGGAGTGCTAATGCCAAGCCCGAAGATGCGCCGACGGCTTGCAGGTTCAAATTGCCATCCAGGCGCGAAACACGCCTTTACTTCTACAATTGTCTACAATCAAAGTCGAATCGTATCTAACAGTATCAAGTCGCGCAATTGTTACGTTCAATGCTCAGCAGCGGCCATCGGTTCCTGATCATTCAGCACTAAGCCTAATTCAAACTCTGCCGGAGGACCGAGGGTCATGAAAGGAATTCCACCGACAGGTATCAAAACTTCGACGCACTCACCATCATGGCCTGAGCATTATTAAACCGCTCGCCCAACACCGCAACAATGGATCTGTCATCTTCATCACGAGCGACTCGTCGAGCTCATCTATCCATACCATACAAAATTTCTGCGAAAGAACCAGGTTGAAGCAATGGCTCAGCGTATCATGCGTCCACACACACTTCAGAAGACATTGAAATCCACATTCTTGCCTGTAACGGTCGCTCCCACTCGTCCGGGCGCAATCTCACTCTGTCAGACTCGACGCAGCTCACACTCGCCGTTGGGTGCTCCTCCAGCGGCACCAAGGAAGAAGGTTACAATCAATACACTACAAGCCCTCTACAAGAAGGATGAACCTATTACCATGATGACCGCCCATGATTTTCCGAGTGCTCATGTCGCCGACCATGCTGGGATGGATATAATACTAGTGGGAGACAGCCTAGCAATGGTTGCATTGGGCATGGAGGATACAAGCGAGGTGGTGCTTGAAGAGATGATACTTCACTGCCGGAGCGTTGCACGTGCTACCAAGGCTGCTTTCACTGTAAGGTCGCCTTGGAATATCCTCGACTTCCACACATGTGCTCACACTTCTCCATAGATCGGTGACCTCCCCATGGGCTCCTACGAAATAGCCCCCGAGCAAGCTCTCGAATCCGCAATCAGAGTCGTGAAAGAAGGTCGAGTTCAGGGCATCAAGCTCGAAGGTGGCCTAGAGATGGCCCCTACGATAGAACGGATCACGCGAGCTGGCATCCCAGTCCTAGGCCACATCGGTCTTACACCTCAGCGTCAAAACGCTCTCGGAGGCTTCCGAGTCCAAGGGAAGACAACTCTCGGCGCCCTCAAAGTTCTGGAAGATGCCGAAGCTGTACAAGCAGCTGGATGCTTCGCCGTTGTCCTGGAGGCTGTACCCGCTGAGGTAGCGAGTCTGGTCACGAAGAAGCTGAAGATCCCTACTATCGGCATTGGTGCTGGCAATGGGTGCTCCGGACAGGTACTCGTCCAAGTCGATATGTCTGGCAACTTCCCACCAGGCCGCTTTCTCCCCAAGTTCGTCAAGCAGTACGGCGATGTCTGGGGCGAGAGCATGAAAGCTATCCAAGCCTACAAGACCGACGTGAAGAGTCGGGCATACCCTGCTCCGGAGCACACCTATCCCATGCCGGCAAAAGAGTTCGCGGAATTTGAGAACCTTGTTAAATCCAGAATTATCTGATGCCCCCGTCTGATTTCATAGTACCATATACCCCATGTCGGTCGTTTGCTTACCTCACAGCGTTTCGGCAAGTTTCTGGTATCTCCCTACACGGTCCAATGACCATATCTGCGTGCATGGTAGAATGCCTGCGGCGTTTGTGGGAAATAGACAGTGTTGCACCTAGATAGATGAGCATGAATCCATGTGAACAAGTCAAATAACCAACTCACCCTTTTGCTTCCTGCGTCCATGCAATGCCTTCCGCAAAGGATCAGATACCATCACGCCCGTTGCCGACCTCATCCAAAAGCGGGCGTCATGGAATACGCCACGATGAGCTGATCATCCGTCTTGAAGCACTGCGAACCATCGTATCAGCCCAGATTCCAAAACTTCATACCCCATCCTCCACTCCCTCCCCCTCCCACCATCCTCCCTCCACAACTCCAAAAAACACCAGCGACTCACCCTCCACAACCCCCCCACCCCCTCATCCAGCCCCGGCGCAAACACACTGTTCACATAGCAAAACACCCCCCCGCCCCCGCCATCCACCCCCTCCATACCCTTCAACTTCTTCCCCAAAAAGCTCACCACCGTCTCGAACCGGTTCGCAGCGCTGACTTTGAAAATCTTCTGCCGCAGGTGCGGCGCGGAGCCCACGGGCTGGAAGCGGATCGTCACTGTGGATGAACGGGGCACACGCGCTCGCATCAGCCAGGTGCCTATCTCTCTCTCTCTCTCTCTCTCTCTCTCTCTCTTCGGAAAGCGTAAAGGAGTTCGAGGACGCTTATGGGAGGGTGGGACGACTGACCTTTGGAGGGGACGCCGTCGACGTCGTCGCTGGCTTTGGCGAGGGCGGCGGTGGCGTCTTGGGGGAGGGAGGTGAGGATCAGGGAGGCGGAGAGGGGGAGGGGGAGGGTGGCGGCGGCGTCGGGGTCTTCGTCGGGGATGGGTGGGGATTGGGGTGGGATGGGTGAGGAGGGCATGATGAGTGCGGGTGGGTTGGTTCGGAGATAAGTTGTGGAGGGTGGAAATATATGGTCGGAGAAAGCGGAGTGTTTATGCGAGAGCACGTTTGATGGGATGGACTCTACGACACAATCGCTATTGTCTGACTATCTCCCCTCCTATGGCTTGATTTCGTTTTCATCTCTTGTCACCAAAATAGGCCAAGCAGACTGTCTATAATTGAGAATGTGCTGTGGTCCTCATAGCTCTCTCCCCGCATAGCATGAGTCTTTTCAAACATTAAGAAACCTGCCCCATAACACGACTTTCTCTCCCCACCCTCCTTCTCAATCCCTTTCCCACCATACACAATCGTACTCGCAAACCCACTCTCCAATACCCTCGTCGCACCATCTCGCAGCGTCTACGGGTCTGGATCCTCACCCGTGAAGCTGAGCCGCGGATCCCAATCTCTAAGCCTCGCAGCCTTCTTCCCGTTGAAGAAGCCACATTTTCAAAATCATTCTCGTCGGCGGCAGTCTGATGGCTCTTGTCCGTACCTTCATTGTCCCATCATTTGATGTGCCGGTGCCAGACTAGTGCATTGGCTGATAGTCCGGGGTATGAATCGAGGTATCGGAGAGCCTTCAAAGGTCGTCCATCAATGATCCTCACATGGGCTCTGGCTTTTGCAATTAGGCTTGTCGGAATGCCAATCGACTTTTTGGCATGCTGGGGAGCGGTACCGTTATGGCAACGGTCGCATTCCTTGAGGGGCTTGTTGCGTTGATAGACGGCATAAACCTGTGGTGTATGTCGAATGCGCCATCTCTGGAACGTCCTGAGCAGCAAGCCAAGGTTTGTGAGACCCTCACAGTCCCTGCAAAGTGAGTAGGCCCTGAGAAATGAGTAGAATATCTAGGGTGATGGAGCCGTCTCTAGTAGTAGTATAGGACGCTGAGTTACAAAACTTTGATTAGGCAAGCGCTTCTACTTACTCCCGTCCTGTCGTCCTCCGTTGCAGTACATTATCAAAAGAAAGCTCCTTGTAGATGCATGTCAACTATATACAGGCACGCTCGCCATGATGCAGATGCAAGGGTCACCGCAATGCAGAATGGTATAGTAAGTAGGCAAAGCAACCCTTTTGTAACGCCGAGCCACGGTAGAAGGAATGACCGGAACAAGCAATTCCACGAACTGGGTATGCACGCTGGCGTTGGATATGTTACAATGGCGTGGCACTAGTCGTAGGTGTGAGCTGATATACAGCGCAAGATTCAAAAGCCGTCGGAATTTGGCTCCTTGAGACGTCGGCCCAACTGGGCGAGAAGCTTGTCGAGATCTGTCCAATTGGCGTCTGTGAGAGCGAATTTCCGGTGCTGATTTGACATAATGTGCTGTGTGGTATCATTAGCATTGTCTGTGAGTGGAGTATCTGGGGAACTCACATCATCAAAGTGATCATACTTCTTGCGGCAATTCTCACAATATCCCTCTTTCAAGTCCTTCCCTTTCAGCTCCTTCTCCTTCATCGCCTTCCCCATTTGCTTTTCTTTCCTCCGTTGATCCTCAGCCAACCAAACATCCTCGTCCTCTTCTGATTGCGTAGATTCTTCGTCGATGTGTATTAGAGTTTCTGGGACCTGTCTCCGATTCTGTCTAGCCATGGGAATGTTCTTCTCGGCTCGCGCTGTACCTGCCGGGTCGATGTTTCTTTGCCGTGTCTGAATACTATTAAGAGGCGGTCTAGTGTTCTTTTCTAAGACCTTTCTTTTCAGCCCATGGACCTCCTTGCTTGTGCCAGCCTTCGCGCCGGGGGCAGCTGCAGTGGAGGAGATCATTTGAGAACGGATTGCAGAAGTGATGTTTGATTGCTGTAAACCTGAAGCTGCCGGCTCGCCCCCGAAGAGTCTGGGGCCAGCATTGGAGATCGTATCCCTTGCTGCCTTAGTGGGGCTCCGGGTCTCTATGGGAGGTGGGCAAAAGTCGTGAGTCGGCATTTTTGGCATTCTTGCTGGCGGCGGAATGAAAGTGTTTGGTATCTTCCTTTTTTCTTCAAGAGGTCGCTTTAGGGAAGCAGCCATTGCCGCATCGGCATCAGCGTCCTCTCGAATGGTTGCAGCACGAGTGCGCGGAGCCGTCCGAGTCTCCGCTCTCGCAAGTGCCTGCTCTCCAGCTCTCGCCCTGTTTTCGACCTCCAATTCCTGTCGATTTTGGTCTTCGATAAAGGGGCATCTTCCATGACGCGCCGATCGGAATTGAGGCCATTCTCCTTCTTCCTGGGTTGTCGGCCTGGGGTAATCTCTTACCATAATTGGCTTTGTTCTCTCATCGATGTCTCGAATGTAGATGAAAGGGCCTTTAAATGGTATGACCTCGCTCAACGCAACAGTGGGGTCGCGATCCGATGGGCCATTGAGCCGCTCGTTTCGGAGCATACGAGACAAATCAGGTTCCCTTTCGCCTCTGGCTGCAGCGTTGACTCCTTTCGAGCGCACCGCGTTGCCAATTTGGACCTGGGTCTCATTGGGGACATCGAACATCGAGTTGACCACTCGGGACAACTTCTCCAACTGCCATAGCTTTATTCCCATCTCTTTTGCTTTTAGCAATACATCCGTGTTACTGGAGTTGGCCTTTCGTGGCTCGACCGCATCGTTGATGCCATTGAAGCTTGTCTTCTTGCTTGTAGCCGCTTCAAACGTGAACTTGTTTCGTTGCAACGGCTGTCCTCGAAACTCGTTTTGACGGTCCAACAAAGATGGGTTTATCGTGCGTGGCTGAGTTGTGGTCTGTGAACTTGTAGACGTAGATGATAGGGTAGTGAGGTCGGTTCCATCCTTGAGATCGTGATCGCTGGGGATGGGTCGTGTAGTAACAATATGGGTCACCTCCTTTGAGAAAAACTTCTCCTCTCTCTAAATGAACGAATAGTTAGCAAGCAGCACAGTTCTATGCGTTGAGCGTGAAACGTACTGCTCCAAGTGACCGAATCCATTTTGAGCATTTCATTCGAACTTCTTCAGGCAGGCTCTCGAAGTAGAACACGAAGGTCGGAAAGGACCTCTTGTAATGCCTTTGCCATTGTCGTATGTCCTCCAACGCTTCATGTGACGCCTTCCCTTGTCTTTCCACCTTTTGCTGTACCCTCTGTTCGATCTTCTGTTCTACCCTTTGTGTGACTTTGTTCTCTTTTGCCGAGGCCAGAAGCTTTCTCTCGAATGGTGTTGGCTGAGCATTGAGTGGCCGCCTGTTAAAGATTCGACCTTCTGCGGACTGTAATGTCTGCTTTCTAGGAGAGGTCCGTAGATTTGTCCGTCCATCTTCTAAAGCTTGTCTCTTTGCTCGCGGTTGCAAGTCGCAGGGAAGGTCTTCTTGGGCTTCAACTTTTTTTTTTTTTTTTTTTTTTTTTTTTTTGGGGGGGGGGGGGGGGGGGGGGGGGGTTTTTTTTTTTTTTTTTTTTGTGTTTTTTTTTTTTTTTTTTGTTGGGGGGTTTTTTTTTTTGTTGGTTGTTTTTTTTTTTTTTTTTTTTTTTTTTTTTTTTTTTTGTTCTCCGGTGGGGGGGGGGGGGGGGTTTTTTTTTTTTTTTTCCCCCCCCCCCCTCCTTTCCCCCCCCCGGGGGGGGGGGGGGGGTGATAAAAAAATTTTTTTTTTTTTTTTTTTTTTTTTCCCAAAATTTTTTTTTTTTTTTTCACAAAAAAAAGGGGGTTTTTTTTTTTTTTTTTTTTTTTGGGGGGGGGGTTTTTTTTTTTTGGGGGGGATTTTTTTCGCGGCCCCCCCCCCCCTTTTTTTTTTTTTTTTTTCCCCCCCCGGCCCCCCCCCCCCCTCCGGCACCCCCTAATTAAGGGGGGTCAACCCTCGAAAATCGTTTTTCGATTTTTCGATTTTCGATTTTCCAATATTCGCTTATCCCAAACTATTACTATATATCAAGATAATTAATTTAGATTCTAAAGAGTATAAATTATAACGCGTATTTTATAATATAGTTTAGAATTCGAAATTATATAAATTAACTTAATATTAGCGAAGTAATATTTAATTAAAATTTTTAGAGTTATCTATCTTAATTACAATTTACTTCTTAACTAATAATAATAACTCTATAATAATTATAGAAGCTTTATACTTATAGACTTTAATATTAATATATATTACTATCTATTACTTAAGTTTAAAATTAAGTGATCTTAAATTAGAGATATTAAATTAGTTAGAAATAAAGAAGCTTACTTAGTTATTAATATATAAATATCTTATTTAATACTTATATTCACTTTATAATAGCTAAACCTACTTATTATAATAAATATAACTTATAGATAAAGCTATATATATATATAGACTATAGAGTATATATCGATATAGATAGATATATTAAGAGGCTAAATTTCTATTTATAATTTATATAATAAAGTAGTCTTCGAAATAATAATTAGCCTATATAGTCTAATAATTAAAAATATTATTTATAAAAAACCCGGCTATTAAATCGTATATATATTTATATTTTATAATATATATATATTAGAATAGTCGTAGAAAAATAATTTTATAATCTAGAATATATTATATAATTAATATAGTCCTTTAGAATAGAGTTTATATATTTTTTTTTATAGAGGTTTTTTAATTATAGCTAGATTTAAACTATAGGCCTCTAAGAGTAATAACTTAATATCGAGCTATAGATATTAAAGTATCGCTATAATAATATAAGTATAAAAATAATATAAGTAAGTATTATAAGAAGAAAAGTATTATAAGTAAGTAAGTATTATAAGTAAGTAAGTATTATAAGTAAGTAAGTATTATAAGTAAATAAGTATTATAAGTAAATAAGTACTATAAGTAAGTAAGTATAAATAAGTAAGTATTATAAGTAAGTATAAATAAGTACTATAAGTATTATAAGTAAGTAAGTATTATAAGTAAGTAAGTATTATAAGTAAATAAGTACTATAAGTAAGTAAGTACTATAAGTAAGCAAGTACTATAAATAACTAAATATATAAATAATATAATTTCTTTATAATTATCTAGTATATTTATCTCTTAATTATTTAAAATATTATAAAGATAATAGATACTTTAAATATTACTCTTTCGAGTGTCTTAAAGTTCGTTATAAGATTAATTATATAATTATAGAGTAATTTAATAATATATATTTTTATTATATAGAGAAGAAGAAGTTCTTATATCGACGGCGGTAATAATAATATTATACTTTCTAGATTTATTATAATTCTTCTTTTAAGTATATTATCGAAGCGTTAAGAGACTTTCATTTAAAAAAGAATTATTATTAAATAAAAAAGTGGTGGCTAAAGAGATATTTTACTCTAAAATAATAGAAATAATTATTCTAATTTTAATATTTTATAATTTCTATAAGATAGAAAGTATTAAAATAATTTAATTTAATTAATTAAGATCTTTTAAATCGCTTCTAAATCGTAATTACTAAACTTTAAATTAATAATAAATAGTTATTAATAATTTTCTTTATAGAATATTAAATAGTTAATATCGATTAAGACTATTAATAGACGATAGCGAGATCGATAGATAACGCGATATTATCTCGAAAGATTTTTATAAATAAAATTATAAGAAAAGCGTACTCGATAAGTCTTATATAAAGTAATTATTAAATAATAAGAGTCTAAGTAATTAATTTTTAAATATTAAAAAGTAAGATATAGACGTAATTTCTAAACTTCGAATAAATTTAATTCGTTTAAAAATACGTTATTCGAGGTTTTTTAGAGTCGTCTATTAATTTACTAAGGAAATAGAGGCCTTACTTACTATAAGAGTAATATACTTTAATAAGTCTCTTTTAATATACTCCTATACTTATACTTTAATAAATCTCTTTTAATATATATCTAATAATATATTAGTAATATCGAAATTACTAATTTATTATAAAGCTTTTAATTATAAATAAAAGAGAAGTAGAAGATCTTTTTAAAAGAGAATTAAGCGAGATAGAAGATTAGACTATTAAGGGCTATATATATATACTTTAAAAACTATAATATCGTCTTTATATATCGATATATCGATTATATAGTTAATTTATATTAATAGATTAATCTAGAGCTAAATCGATAGTATAGAGTTATATTTATAAGTCTTTCTAGATAATAGCTTAGTCTACTTTTTAGATAACTATTTATAAATAATAGAGGTTATTCATTTACGACTATTCTTTATACTAATCTTCTATTATTTATTTCTCTACTCTTTTAAAATACTCTCTTCTTTCTTATATACTTCTTATTAATTAATTTAAATAATAATAATCTTAATAGAAAAAAGATTATCGTTTATAGTAAGACTTTAAATTTATTAAATTTAATATAAGAATTCTTAAGAAATAGAATAAGTTACTTATAAAATCGAAATTATCGCCTTATAGTATATTCTATACACCCTTATTCTTACTCTTATCTATACTCTTATTAAAAATATCTTTTAATCTTACTTATTCTTCTTCTTCTTCTTCTTATTTAATAAAGTCTTCTTCTTTTTTAATAAAGCTATCGCTATAAGAGATCTTCTTTAAGATATACTTAAAGTTATTCTTATTATTATTTAAGATTATAATAATTTTATATTTATTAAGTTTATCTAACTTAAATTATAGATTTAACGATATATAAAATAATTAATATCGAGACTTTATTTTAGAGTTAGAATTAATCTTATTTTCTTCTTTAGTCTTCTATTCTTTCTACTTAGATTTTATCTTAATTCTAATAAATCTTCTCTCTTTCTTAATTTTTAATTAGCTTTTATAAAAAGATATAAGCTTTAACTCTCTAGATTTTATATTATCTTCTAATTCTTTCTCGAATAATAGTATATAAATAACATTTAGAATTAAGAAAGCCTACACTACGTTATTTCTTTCGAAATTTTTAATAATTAGATTATTTTAGATATTAACTATATCGCTAGATATAAGAGTAAATATAGAATTTTTTTAACTCTAGATTTATTTATAAAAAGAATTATTAAACTCTAGATAATTTATTTATCGATATATTAAATTCTATTAATAAGATCTAACTACCTCTTTTTATTTATAAGAAGTTCGTCGATAAAGTCTTATAGCTTATAATTCTTTTAAAATACTCGTTATTTTACTGCGATATTAATTACCTCTATTATAGATATTAATATATATTAATTAAAGGGGGTAATTAACTTATCGATCTAAAAGAACCTCGCTTTTAAATACTCTTTTATATTAAATATAGAAGAAGCTTATTCGTCGTATTAATATATATATATATCTATCGTAAAATAATATATAAGTTTATATATATTATTAAGACTTTAAATTAATAAGATAAAATCTAATATTAAATCGAGATAGCGCTATTATTATTAGAAAATAAAGGCGTATAGCGAAGATACTAGCGCTAATATAAGAAAGAGATTTATCTATTTTTTAAGTCTTAAGAATAGATCGCTAGCGAAAGTATTTATTAATAAAGATTTTGGTTTTACTTTTATTATATAGATTTAGCTTATATCTAATAAAAGTAATTCTTTAAATAATTATTATAGATATAATTCTCTAAAATTACGAAGTATAAGATTTATTTATTAAGTTAATATTAAACTAAGTTAATAGAACTCTTTCTCATAAAGTAAATTAAGTATTTAAAGTTTAAAATATATTAATAATTAATTAAGAGAGAGTATAAATAATAGATATTAAGCTACTTGAGAATTTATCTACTTATTTTAATAGATAATTATATTTACTATAAATAATATTTAAAAATAAATAATTATAATTAATATTAGAAATCTTATATTATTATTAAGGCGCTTTATCTATATAATCTATATTAGTTATATAAAATATCTAATAATAGATAAATAAAAAAAAAGATCTCGAAGTTATAGAAAGAGCTTTAAGTCTTTAAGAGCTTTCTAAATAAATTCGTCTTAAATAATAAATTTACTTTTATAAATATAAGATTTAA